TGAAGAGATAACCCTGCAGTAACATGGAGGTTGAACATGTTTTTAAAATTCCCCTCAGTCCTGCTTCTGTTGGTTGTTTAGCAATTGACCTTTCACAGTAGTAGGGTGTGTTTTGTTATTGCGCCACAGGACTTTGCCTCACCTCTGCCCTCTCTCCTGGCTCTCTACCCCTCTGCTCAGGAGATTAGTGCCACAGCCCACTGCTTCCTCTGTCACCTTCCCTGCATGAACACTGCTCTGAAAGGTTTACTAGCTCCCAGTTTAATCCATAAACTCTTTGGGGGAAAAAAGAAGCAATGTCAGGAAGCTGTAAATGGAGTCAAACCAGATAATCCTGATCTGCAGTTTAATTGAGAGGAGCCTGACATTAGATTACTGCTGAGGGCACTTTGACACTTGCTAGCTTTCAGTCTAAAACCAACACATGAATAATGTTATCATTATCATGTCTGTCATGAGTATGCAAACATCCCTGTCTGCTTATCCCATCTCAGAAGGCTCCTGATGGAGTCAAGGTTGAGGCTGAGCAGCAGCAGCAGCAGCAGCAGCAGCAGGGCGCTGTGTTTTTTAAGACAAGGTTTCCCTCTCTATTATTAAGCCATAGTGTTTTTTTGTAAAGGTTAACAGTTGAATGCAGGGTAAACTGATCCAGGGCCTGGGCTTGAAGGGCAACATCACCCATATTTGTCAGGGATCTGAAGCTAAGAGCTACCTTTGGGTGGTATAAGGGGTCATATTGTGTCTATTAGAAAAGATTGTTTCTTCATAATAGTGAACTGTTTTGTCTCTCACAGTTAAAAATAAGATACCCAAGCCTGAGTGTATCTCCCATCCTTTTCATATATTTATTTGTCACAAAAAAAACCTCTGACTTTGTTTATTTTTCAGCTTATTATGAACTATATTAATATTTTTGCCAGTATCAGAGGCTGATATCTACACGGGCATCTGATTTGGGACATCTCCTATTTCTTACATCCCCTTTATTGATCTATCTGACCATCTTCTTGTCTCCCTGCCAACACAAGGCTTAGAAATACAAAGGTTTAACTCTGAGGAAGTGCTTTTAGGTGACTGAGTAACATTATACAAGCAACCTGCCTTGATACTGGAAACATCGCTCCAGTAGTTCTAGCGGGTTCAACTTTCTAATCATTCACCCACACTGTAACTCTCGGGCTGTAATTCTGTAGTGCAACAAGATAATGTGTTGAAAGTGTTTGCACAAACTGCAAAGAGCTCCATGCACTCACAGATGCAGGCTCCACGATGGAGCCGGTCTACCCGTCCCCTGTGGTATTAAGCCTGCTTTCTTCGGCAGCACCGTTGGAAGGGGAGCTGGGCATACACGTGTCCCACCCTAGCTGCATATAGATCAGCCGTAATCCATTAGCAGCTCCCTGGAATCCAGCCGGCACAGCATAGCACAGCACAGCACTGGAGGGGCCAGGGGAAGAGGGTAGCCATGTGGGTGATGGGGGGGAGGAGGGAGAGGGAGGGCGAGAGAGAGAGAAACGAACGAGGGATGAGGAGAGGAGGGGGTAGGGGAGGGTTTTTTTTTTTTTTTCCTCCTGAGCTGGCTTCTCTACCACCAGCCCAGCCCCCTTTTTATGCTGGGCCCACTGGAAAAGCCTCTTGAATCCCCCCATAAAGCCTGCAGAGGTGTGTGTATGCTAAAAGCAAGACTTGACTGATATATGGCTTCCTGGCTGGCATCATAGCTGAGGCCCTCCTTTCTCCAGCAGCCCTGTCCTCCATTACTGCCTGCAGGGTTGAGTGCCGTGCACCCCTGTAGCACATTCTGCGATTAACTGCAGATCTGGGTTATGTATTCCAGAATAGCTCATTATAATTCATGTTGGGGACAGCACTGGGTTACTGGGATATGTGTGCTTGCCTGGTGAGAAGCTAGTGGTGGCAGACGAAGAGAGAACGGAGGAGAGGAGCAGAGGAAAGATGGGGGGAGGGGAAGGAGAAGAAGACCATGAGTAGAAGTGTCAAAGCAGAGGAGGCAAGCCCAGGCCTGGACCTGGGAGTAATGATCACTCCAGCTGATTGTATCTGCTAGCCTGACTGTTCCAACAGAGACGGCTCTGATACATCAGCCAGCCATCTCCTGTAACAATCCCCACCCTGTCCTCATATAGACTATTTTTGCTCCCAGATGTCACACATTCCCATCATGCATTGTCACCTGCTGCAGCGGCAGATTTTATGTGAGTTGTTCTTGGTCTGTGCATTAATTGAAAACATTCACTTGGTCTTTGTCCTGATGAGATTTGGGACATTATCAAGTATGCTGTGATGCAGCACGCCACTATTGTGCCATAACATCCAGGTTTTTTCATTAAAGAACACAGACCCAATATAAGTCTTCACCTTTACTCCTAAAGGAGGTTAGCAAACCTTCAGCGGTGCGTATTTGCATTAAGGCTTGTCCCTGTTTTAAGAACCACTCCCTTCCTTTCAGCTGCATATTATGAAACATAATTTTTAGTAAATCTCCAGGCTGGCACATTCTCACATGTATTTACAGCTCGAGTTAAGTATTCCCCTGCATTACAGTAATCTCCTGTAATACAGTATACCCTGCCTTGATCAGGGACGGGGCATTAAGCTGTGTGTCCATTTCCCAGCATACCCAGGGCTTAAAGAACATGTTAAACAAGAGTTAGGACAGAGCCAGCTTTTCTGGCTGAAGCACACCAAGACTGTAACCCTCAAGCACACGCTGTGGGAGAGCATAAGGGCAGCACCGTGGGATGTAACAGGTCATCACTATGTAGTTTAGGAGAGAATGAGATTCATCTGTCCTATTTCCATAAATGAGCGCCTCTCTGGAGGATCAGGTGTTGCCGTCCTTGTCTGTGAGCCACACCCTCTCCCCCCACTCCTCTGCCTCAGCTCCTGTGTAGTTTTACCTGCTCAGGTGTCACCTAATCTCTCCCCCCCGGCCCTGCTGTGCCACAGACCCCCAACCCTAAACAATGGGGCAGGGCTGACATTACCATGACCTAATGGAGACGAGAGAGAGCCAAGTTTCCAAAGAGGGCACCCCACCGAAACTAGAGTCACTCCTTTGAGGTGGGGAGGAGAAGCAGAGAGGAGGCACTCTGGAGAAGAAGCTACTTTACCCTTTATTCTGCTCCGCCCTTCTGCCTTTTGTGCCAGAACAGCAGCAATGTGTACAATCAGAACTTGATCCTCTAAGGGTTGCAATTTGTCTAAAAAGGAAGACGAGAGGAATGGACAGGTTCCAGTTTCTAAGCTCGCTTGTGATTATGTGGCATGTTGTGCTAACAGTTGTCTAATTCCTCGTGAGAGCTGAAAGCTTAGATCGAAGAGTAAACTGTGAGGGCCGTAAGACATGAGCCCTCAGAAACTTCAGCGCTGCCAATTTTATATATCAGGATTTTGAAGATGTAAGATGTTGATTGACACTCCACATGTGAATACAAATGTGTGAAATATCTTTTGAGGAAATTTGAAATTTGAAATTTCCTCAATGGTCCTGAATTTTGGATTAGTTATTCAAAGAGAGCTGCCCTGCTACATCGGTGTGGTCTGAATTCAAAACTTAAAGGGAGCAGACAGCTAGAACTATATCGACTCCCCTTTCGTCAGTTGCTGCTTATTTACCAAGTCCTGTAAGCCTTTTCAATTATGCCCTGTTTACACGGTGATGGTCTTATTAAAAAGGGAAAAGTCTGATGTTTGCATCTCAATAAAAAAAACAACTGAAAACAATGGAGTTTGCATGCCAAGCCTGCAGTTGGCGATGTGTTTTTGTACCTAACGCCACTGAAGAAAACCATGCGCTTAGTCAACAGAGCAGTGAGCACAAACTGACGAAAGGACGATGGCCAACACACGCTCCAAAACCAGCAGCAAGAAGCATCAGTAAACTAGTAGAATCAGCTGCTTAGTGGTCCCTCTATTGTTGTTTTTGTCCTCCTACTCATGTTGTTCATCTGGGAATGTAGTAAACATGTGAGCAGGAGGATGCTGTTTTCAGAGGATCTGCGTATTGCTTGTTTAGAGGGTTTGCATTTGTCAAAAATCCACTTTGCAACCAGTTTTGAGAAGTTTGCATTTCCTGTCACCTATACGCTGTTTCCATGTAAATTTATGGCCACAGGCAACAACAATTTCCCTTTCTTCATGAACATGTTTCAGTTTAAACATAACTGTAGTTTAACCAAGAGGTCTTTGGGGATTCTCACACTTCAAAGTAGCGACACTGTTGCCTGCTGACACCAGTCTGGTTAGCTAAAGCCACATGCTTAGCTCAAACTCAAAGTCAATATTACTTTTAAGCTAGCTTACCAAGTCTTCCGGGAGTTATTGAGAGGGAAAAAAGTGCACTGGTGATGTTGCTTTTGATCACAGTAGCAGCTGGAAGCAAGAAGAAAATGAAGCAGCCGGACTATGGTGTGCTGAAAGGGACAAAATAATATGCAGTTAAAATGACAACACGTTAATAGAGAAAGTGAACTGGGTAACTTTCATTTTATTATCAGTCCCTGTTAAAACAGGTCCCCTGGTGTTTTCTGATCTTGTCCGACCAGCTTAGAGATCCTCACACCTCATCTGTCGTTTTCCTCAGCAAGCAATAAATTTTGATAAAACTGAAAGCAGCATAAGACTAGAAACCAAACAATACCTGCTTGCAGACAAAGAAAGCCCTGTTTGTTTGCTGCATTGACAAAGCAAATGAAACAACATTGCTTGGTCAACAAGTTTTGACTTCTCTCATGCGCTGCCAAGTCAAGTGTGGAAACCAATTGTGCGCTCTGTCAAGGAACGCTGATCCTCCTCAATTTCTTCGCTCCGGCTTTACAAACTGTTTTGAACAAGCTGTCATTTCCACTAGTATCAGTCTTCATACTTCTTGTCTACATCGTAAAACCAACCATGTTCTTTTTTTTTCTATATTTCTTTCAGCTTTAGGTGGTGCACGTGTAGGAAGAGAGAGAGTGAAGGAAAGAAGGAAGGTGGAAATGGAACTGCCAAATCATGCCAAACAACTGCTGCTGCAACTCAACCAGCAGAGAGCCAAGGGCTTCCTGTGTGATGTCATCATCGTGGTGGAGAATGCGCTCTTCCGTGCCCACAAGAACATCCTCGCGGCAAGCAGCATCTACTTCAAATCTTTGGTCCTCCACGATAACCTCATTAACCTCGACACAGAGATGGTTAACCCCTCTGTTTTCAGACAAGTTCTGGACTTCATCTACACTGGGAAGCTCCTGTCCTCGTCGGACCAGAGCAGTGAGCAGAATTTCAGTGCCCTCTTAACCGCAGCTAGCTACCTCCAGCTCCATGACCTCGCTGCTCTGTGCAGAAAGAAGCTCAAGCGCAGTGGCGGGAAACCACTGCCAGGTAAACCCTCCACTCCAGGTCCCCTCAGCCGCTTACGCCTCAACAACCAGCGCCTTTCCTCCTCTACCCCTGCTGGCCCCAACAACCACTACCCCCCAACCCCTTCTGATGCCGACCAGCCACAGCCGGACGAAGGCCTTCGGGACAAGCTCTCAGACGATGAGATGTTTGTCGGCAGCTCTGGGAGGAATGGGAACGGGGGGAACGGCAGCAGTAACGGTAACCTCAGCAGTGGAGGAAGTGCTGGAGAGCCAGACCTTGGACTAGACCTGTCCAAGAAGAGCCCTCCCTCAGCGGGCACAGTCACTGATGCCCTCAGCCCACACAGCAACTCCCAAGAATCCCCTCAATCTGCCTCAGTATCCACAACCAACAGTGCCTCACTGGATGACTCCTCCACCACCCTACCTGGTGTGGACACCTGCGGAGAGACCACGGAGCTCAACTCCTCCTCCAAAGCCTCAGAGGAAACCCAGAACCAGCCTGATGGCCCCCCACCACAGAAGAAGTCCAGACAGGGTGCCCGCAAGAATGAATGGCCCAAGAAGGAGGCGTCAGGGTTGAAGTCTGAGGACCACGACAGGCCCCTGGTTAACGGAGTGATTGTAGGGCCTAAAGAGCGCTCCTCTGGGGCTGGAGGAGGAAGCGGCGGCAGCTTCACCTCTGACCAGTCCTTCCAGTGCAAAGACGATGAAGAAGGAGGGGAAAACGGACAAGACCACAGCGAGGAGAGCGGGCAAAGTGACGGAGAGAGTGCAGGAGGAGGGACAGGAGGAGGACATGGCGCAAACTATGTGTACCGACAGGAAGGTTTTGAGCCAGCGTTTGGAGACAACCTCTATGTGTGCATACCCTGTGGTAAGGGCTTCCCCAGCTCTGAGCAGCTCAACGCTCACGTGGAAACACACACCGAGGATGAGCTCTACATCAAAGAGGAGGGAGGGACCTTTGTGAAAGAGGAGGACGAGGAGGAGGCAGAGGACCTCTCCGCACCAGTGGGTCCCTCCACCTTTGGCTCCGAAACACGTCCATTCAAGTGTACAGTCTGCAGTAAGAGCTACAAAGACCCGGCGACGCTCAGACAGCATGAAAAGAGCCATTGGCTGACCAGGCCTTTCCCCTGCAACATCTGCGGCAAAATGTTCACCCAGAGAGGCACCATGACACGCCACATGCGCAGCCACCTTGGCCTCAAGCCGTTTGCGTGTGAAGAGTGCGGCATGCGCTTCACACGCCAGTACCGTCTGACAGAGCACATGCGGGTTCACTCTGGGGAGAAGCCGTATGAATGCCAGCTATGCGGGGGCAAGTTTACCCAGCAGCGCAACCTCATCAGTCACCTGAGAATGCACACCTCACCCTCTTAGAAATGCACCAAGCCAAAGAACTCTGGGAATAGAAAAACAGAAAAAAAACACTTCTCTAGCTTTTTTCCATCTCAACAGCAAAGAAACGCACACAAACACGTTCACAAGCAGACACAGACCGTTCAAAACATTAATTCCAGTTTACGACGCCCTGGCTAAGTGAATGATGTAGCTGTTAGCCACAGTGGGCTCTTGGTGACGGTGGGATCTTGTGGATGCAAGGATCGTGTCATCATGTCTATCAAGAGATGTCTGCTCACCTCTCAGGAGTTCTAGAGGGACACTAACTCCTGTCTCTCTCCAAAGTCACAAAGCCATGGTGGAGTGGCATGACTTCTGGTCTGTGTTATAAGTCTGTCAAATGTGAATGTGGGTACTGATATGATATCAAGCGCCCTCACCTCATATCCCTCAGCAGCCTTTCTCTCTTCTACCTGTGAGTCTTTGAGTTTCTCAGACCGTTCCTGGAGCTGATTAACTCTTGATTGTCCCCCTTCTGTACTCCAGTGCTACTTTGACCAAAAACCCGTGCAAACAATACTGGCAATAATTCAGCAAAAAGAAAATTTCTACCCTTACAGCTTTATAACCTTTGTTATGTTGGTGATGGGGATCTGTATGTAAGAGGAGGGGTTACTGGGTTTGGGACCATCTCCATGCTTTAACTGAAAGTTCACAGTAGGATGACATTGGGTTAAGATTTAGTTTTACACAACAAATACACAAAGTCCTCCTTACAGCTGTAATGGAGGACTGTCTTTGTCTTGTGGGTTTTGCCTGCTAGTGCTCCCAGGACTGAACCCTGGGGAGGGGGAGATAAACCCCTGGAGGTACTTGTTTTACTTAAAGAACTAGTAGTGTTTCAGTGAATGTTTAAACTGGAAGGTCTTGGGATTTTTCTTGTGGAGGGGAGGGATTTGGGTGGGTGGGGCGGGCGGTTTGAAGAGGGTGTTTTTCGGCTGAACATTTACGTTCAGTGGGTACTTTTATTTTTTTTTGTCTGTATAGCTTTCCTCCCCTCAGAAAAAAGAAAAGTCTATTTATATAGGCTTGTGACCTCGCTACCTCTGATTACTCTTACGAACTCTATGTTGATTAGTTAAAAGTTCCTATGTAATTAATTGTACAAAGTGTGTAGATTATGGTAACTTTTCACCTGATGCTTTAACCTGCCCATCTCTCAACACAGGTTTTTAATGCTCATAGATTTTTCACATTTAATATTGTGTTTAGCTGTCGTTTTTACTTGTCAAATATAGCTTTTTTTGGGCGCCCTGCTCAGTGTGGCCCCACCTCAAAGTGTACTGTAGCTTCCTGCCTGGAGCAAATAGTGGTTAGTTAGTGTAGATGTATAGTGTTCCAAAGATCTTATGAATGTTGAGGAGAACAGAGCTAACTAACAAACTTTGCTAGACAAGTTCATAACCAAAGTTTTAAAAAGATGTACTTAAGATATATAGCATACTAAATTATTTCACTTTTAATTTTCTTTTCGCTGTATAAAACAAATTATGAATTATATTCTAAGTCCAGACAAAGAAATCCACTCTTTTGATGGAGTTTTGGCCAATGACTCTGACTCGGAGGGAGGTTCTTGTGATTTGCAAGGAAAGCTTGTGCTGATTGGTGGGCCGGTAAAATGTGAACTTTACCAGCAAAGGAAAGAGGTAAAGTTTAAAAGACATGTTCCCGGGACATGTTTCTGTTTTTCCTTTTTTTTTTTTTTATTAATTTTATTATTCAGAGTCCTTATCACTTTATATTCCCTGACTTTTGAAAACAGGACTTGATGACATTGTATGTGTTCTGTTCAGACCAAAAAACAAAACAAAAAAATCGAAAAAAAAAAAAGATAGGAATTATAATCAGAATTTTAATGTGAAGTTCAAGTTGCTTGTTAGTTTTTTTGAGCCAGGCTTGTGAAAACTTGTAATAAGAAGGGAGAAGCAGAGATGCACTGGACAGCTGGACAGCTCATCGGTCTCCTACAGCATCCTTAAGTTCCTGATTGTATTTCATAATATCCCAGATTGACTTTAAATTATTTTAAACCTCTAAAGCTTTACCTCATTGTAAACAACCATAAGTTGGGAACGGCCCCTCTGTTGTCTGTGGCTCTCACTGAAACCTGTCCAGTGTATCTACTCTTTACAGTCACACTGTGAAGCGTGAACCCTCACTACAAGTTTTTGGTATAGGCATTCCTCTATTATGTTGGTTTAACTGTCTTCTTGATTTTTAAAATTCCTCTTTCGTCCTCATGTTATGGTCTGTGAAATGTTTGTTTTCATAGGGATGCAGCTACAGTTACACAAACATCAAACTATCGTTTTAAGGTACCTGCGTCCTGGACTCCCACAGTTGTTACTTGTTTATGTTGGATGTTGGTGTCTTGCTGTTAAGCAGTTGCTGTTTTAGTGATTGCATGGTACATCTATGAATTTTCACACTCCCCCACCCCACCCCACCTTCAACCACACACATTATTTATCGCCTGATCCATTGTTGCTTGTGACCTCTTCTAGTTTAAGAGGGAGTCCACAATGCATTGCCTTCAAACGTTATTGTACTTGTCAGCACTTACTGCAGTACAGCGTAATGTCTGTCATGCAAACGGTGTTTTTGTACAACAAAATCTCTAGCCATCTCTGCAAAAGACTTTGCAGCTGCATTTGAATGCTTGCTTGTTTGACATTACGAAGAAAAAAACTATGAACTCCAAACTGTGACCATACTACTACTACTATTACTATTACTACTACTACTACTAGTACTACTACTCAAATACTTCAGGGATTGTTCTGCATCTGTGAATGCAGACTCTCAGCTACATTTGTAAGACATAGTATTGTATCGATTTCTCTGTATTTTAATCATGGGAAAAGCAGAACACTAGTTTCATATTTAAGACAAACAGGGGGGTACTTTTTCAACTAACACAAAGAGCCTTGACAAAGGCGAGGCAGCTCGAAACAAGTCTACATTTTAGTTAGTAACTCAGTATGTTCAGAAATAGTTGCAAAGTTGTACAAAGAACTAAGAAGAAAAAAAAAGCTCATACCCAAATCCACAAACTATTTTTTAAACCAAAGCACATTTGAATGATTATGGAACCATGTGTGGCTCTAAAAAAAGAAACATATGTATTTATCTCATTGTTTACATAAACTTTAACAGTTTTACAGACCTCAGTCGAGGCTCGGCCAGTCAGAGCGGTGGTTTTGTGTGTATTTTTTTAAAGATGCTTTTCCACAGAGGTTGCTGCCAAAACAAAAGCATAGCGTCAAACATGGGGTGAACTGCTGCATATTCAATGAAGGGGAGGGCCATTAGGTTCAGGGGCACCCCCCCCCCACCCTCTGCCAGCTGGCTTTGGGGGTGACCCTGCACCCCGGTCCCCCCTGCCCTCTGGCCTGTCTTCAGATGGGATCGCAGCTATGGGGGTGGGCAGTGCGTCCTTGACGTATTAATCAAAAAGGCATTGTTAGTCAGGGTCTTTAGCTCACTGTTGTGTCTCTGTGTTTACCCAAATGCACTTGAGGACTACCTCTGCTGATTGGGTCTCTTAATATGTAGGAGTGGGTGGGTGATGCTTGAATGGTTGGGGTTATTTTAGTACCATGGTACATCTCTAATGCTGGCGGTTCTTGAAACCTATCTGGAGAATGTAGCTTTGATTTGTTTTTTCTGCATGTAAACAGGCTTCTCTGGTAGTCTTAACTGTGAATGTTATTGTCGTATTTCTGCTTTGATGATGTTTGAAACTTTATTTCTTTAGCTGCCTGTGTTCTGTGGGTAAAAAGCAGCACAAACTTCTGGCTGGCCGGGCCTCATACAAAGTTGGTGCAAACACTTATTAACAGTGTTCTTTTTTTATCAAATGTCTATTGTCAGTGATGAATGTATTTATTTCTGGTCCTGCCCTCACCTCTGTAAGATTATTCTCAGTGTGTGAGACTGAGGTGGAGGCAGGACCCCCTTTTTTGTTTTTGTTTTGAGGATTTCAAGCTGAGAATCAAAAATAAGACACAAAACATAGCCATTAGCCACAATCTGTGAAGTTGACTCTTTTTGTGGGAGAACAGATTTTTTTTCCAACTCAAAGAAAAATGGTCTATGGCATTTAATATCTTCTTTACCTGACAGTCTGTATGGTTTTAATTTCATGTGATTCACTGTGGGTGTTTTCTGCCCATGTTTTTGAGTTCTCACTGAACGGCTGCACACCAGGAGGGTTGAACTTTAACCCCTCGTGTGTGTCTGTGGACACAGGCAGGACGCTGTGACCTGCCTGTGCAGAAAGGAGGCTACTGTATCTTTTCTAGCTTGCTCTGTCTGGGTGTTGCCATGCTGCTACCGTAAGAAAAAAACATTCTCACACCAAAAAAACATGCACATAACCAACACTTCTTCTTTGCTGAATGTCAGAGCTCCTGTGACTATTGTTACATTTCTTGTCTTAAACCACTCACCGTTTCTTCCATCTCTTTTTCATGGCGTTTGTGTATTTTAGTGTCGGTTAGTTCTACGTCGGAGGGTTGAGATAGCTTTACTAAGTGCACTTTGTATGTTTTTCGAAGCCTCTGGGAAGGCCCAGGCGCTCTCATATCACTTCCCACTTAACTGACGGTTTACTCGTTGTCTTTCCTCTTCTTACCTCGTCATTGTTCATGTGCGTTAGTGGAAATATCATATCAGTATGCAGTGTTACAAAAGCTTTAAAAACTAATATACAAAGCAGGAAATGCGACCGAGTGGCTGTACACAGCTCGGAGCGTTCGTGTTTTCCATCTCATGTCTCTGTCGTTGTTGTTACACCTTGTATGGATGTTACTATTACCATCTTCTTCAGGCATTTTGTCTAGTAGAGGGGCCGGTCTGTCTAGTTATCACGGAGATGCTCCTTCTTACCTCGGCAGACTAAACCAAAGCCAATTTTAAGATGGCCTCCAGTGCCACAAAAGCAGCTATAAGCTTTACTGTCCCTTCGCTTTATCTCA